ACGAAATTAACGAACGAAACCGTCCAGCCTTAGTGTTCATCCATCCTGTCCAGTACAGTCTTACCAATAGCCAGTTACATTGCAAACTACTATTAAGAGACATTGCCACCTTCTTTTCAACTTTGATCAAATTTATTTCACACCTTTTTTCCAATTCCTTCTTGTCTCTCACGCAAGAAGAAAAGTCATATGTGTTTATGTGTTTTAGAGGCAAGCCAAAGGAAACAAAATAATTTTGTCACTGCAAGTTTGTACGAAAATGGAATGTGAGAAAACTACATGCTGATGACATTATTTGGCAACAACCCATAAGGTTTGCATAATACTACCTTGTTGTTCTAATTTTTTGATGGAAGATTCATACAAATAGAACTGCAAACCTATCAGACAAAGACATCCCAAATTTATGTCATGCAACTCCAATGTAGACACTAAAATTTTCGGATGCATTTTTCTTCTTTTTGTTTTGGAAAATTAAAGAATGCAAATGATGGTAAGGTAAATGGTTCTATATTTTAATGTGAATTAAGGGGTTCTACCTCTGGTTATTTGGATTTCTAGAGCCAGGTGATCTATGTATTCAACTTTACATTCTCCACAAGAGGTTTTAAAAGTCAAAAGGACTGGATAAAAATAGTTTATTTTCATTTAGTGTTAAAAATATTAAAATACTTTTCATCTTTTGAAGAACATCTGGAGGGCATTTTTTTAAAGTCGCTCCTTAATGCTCCAGTAAAATTAAGCAATCAATCACTTTTTAAATTCACCATGCCTTCCTGATAATGTCATACAGTCTTTCACATTTGAAGGTTAATTTTGTTAGTGCGCTACCACACCCATATTTTCCAAAGTCCAAAACACTGGCTGTGATCCAAAGAGCATGATGCCCAAGGGCTTGAGGGACCTTACATCACCTTTTCAGATGAAATGTTACACAAAACTACAACTGTTGGATGAGAGCAGAGATATGCTCAATGAAGCCAGCCAGCTCTTGTTCAACTATGGTGTGTCTGCAATTTGGAATGAATGCAGTTTGAAATCACTTTAATAGTTTGTAGTTTGGTGATGCACATGCATTATTTAGCAGACCTTGTAAAACTACAACTCACACAATGACCAGTTCTAATTCAGCCCTACACATTGTCGAATATGGCCTTATTCTTCCTACCAATTACCCAGATTCTTTCCTGTAATCAGCCCTGTAATGAACAGTCACAGACCCATACCTAATATTATTGTTGCCTGCCATAGCATTGTACTTAATTCCCGGGCCCCCTAGAATTTTTGGGCTTGCACAAATCTTGGCCCGGCCTTTTAAATTTTTTAATTGCCTTGAACAGGCAGGATTACTTTTAATATATGTGTGCTATGGCGACAATTTTTATGCTTACATTTTGTTTTGTTAATCTTATGGTTATGTTGTATGTTTTGTGATGTTACCTGGGAACCGCTCTGAGTCCCCTCAAGGAGATGGAGCAGTATATAAATAAAGTTTTAATATTATATTATTATTATTATTATTATTAATAATAATAATAATAATAATAATTCCATAACATTGTACCATGGCTATTAGTGGTGTTAAGCTGCATTCACTCTACAGTGTAGATGCACACTAACTACTTCATCACACTAGAGAAAAAATCCACTTAAAATCCAGTTTCTGCCTCCTGCAGAATTCTGGGGTTTGTAGTTTAGGGAGGCTGTTAAAAAGTCCTCCCTAAACTACAAACTCCTGAATTCTGCAGGAGGCAGAAACTGGATTTTAAGTGGATTTTTTCTCTAGTGTGATGAGGCAATAAAGAGGAGAATCTTGGTATGTGATATCAGAACTTTAATTTTTCAGGTTATGGCTCATATAAGCTAATGTCATACTACTCATGAAGTGAGGTGAATTTTGGAAGCAGTTAATGGCACAGAAGTTTGCTATTCTACACTTTTACTGTTCTACACAGACATTACAATGCAGTTCAAATCTGGCTCATGGGAGAGGTCTCCACAAAACATATAACCTCGATGCATTTTGTAGCTCGCATTAAGCCTCAAAATTGGGATGGGGAAATGTGGAGATGACACACTTTTAAAAAATACCAAAACACAATGGGTTGTAAGGTAAACAAGTACTCCTCCAGAATGGAAATTACATCAGTTGCAATGGGACTCTCACTTTCAGTCCCTTTGTTCTCATTTCCTGTGCCCAGACAGCTCATCCCAAACAGACATGGTGATGCACATCAGCACATCTCATTAGACTGAATAAGAAAAGAAAAACAATTCCTGAGTGTATTTCCAACCCTCAATCAGTGGATATTGCGGTCACATTTCCGACTTGAAGTACTTCCTGTGATATATGAGTAAGCACTCTGCAAGGAACCGGTTTGGTTTAATCCACTACTTTACCTGATTTGAGAGGCCCCTTCTACACGGCCATATAATCCAGATTATCAAAGCCGATGATCCGCTTTATCAGCTTTGAAGTGGATTATATGAGTCTACACTGTCATATAATCCAATTCAAAGCAGATAAACTGGATTTTATATGGCAGCATAGAAGGGGTCAGAGTCTGTGTCGAACTGCCTAAGTGAAAGTGGGGAAAGAAATGTATGTCCAAAGTTCTGGGGATATAATTGATGCAACTTGCAATTGTCTCTTAGCACTTTTTTAAAAGTATCAGTGCATAGCTATCACTTTTTTTAAGACTTTAAAGGGCTTACTTCCTTCTCCCTCACTGAAAATGCAAAAACAAAACAACTTCAAATACTGTATACACTAGCTAAAATCCCTGGATTACCTTTAATGAAAAGTATCATGACACACAACCACTTCAATTGAATAATCTGCGGAGGGTTTTTTTTTTGTTTTTGTTTTTTTGCTTAAACTGACTTTTCATCCCTTTCCTGGAAATTTCAAAGAATCCCATGACTTCAGGGCTATCTAAGCAGCTTGATCAGGACTGATTTGGTCCAATCCTCTGTCAAAAATGGGACACGGGTGGCATGGTCCTTTCCATACTCTCAGCAGTGCAGGGAAAGTGAATGGATTGTGGCCATGTAGCCACTGCCTCTCCTTGTGGGTCATGGAACTCTGTATGAGGTCTAGGCAAGTATGGACACCTCTGCTGACATTAGAATGGCATGCCTACGCCTTTGGTATGGAGATAGTGGAACCCCCCCCCCTTTTTCCTGATCATGAAGTCACCTTCTTCTGATATTGGCAGAACACCCATGTAACCAAGCAATCTTTCTCTCCTCTTCCTCCTTTCTCTGCTAATGTCAGAATAGGGTTCCCATACAATCATGAAGAAAGGGGCGGAATATCTCCCTGCCTTCATGTTGATTATGTGTGTGTTTCATGCTGATTACAGCAAAGACAACCTTGGAAGTCAAGAACTCACATGAAGCTCTGTGGTGAAATAAAAGAGGGAAGATGGATGCTACCCCAGTGGGGTGACTATGATCTAGTGGAGTCGCTCCAAATTTGCTCAGTGCAGAAGAGTAATTAGTAACTCTTTCATTGATCACTGTGCTGGTACGGCTGTACCAGGAACTCCAACTTTATTTTCTTTCTGTTATCTGTTTTGCAGTCATAGGCCTCCTGTTCATCATAATTAAGCTTTGGTTCCGCCCCTTGTTCTGGGTTCTGGGAGGGAAAGGAGCCATTTTGGGGCAGTCTTACACAAGGCAGCTAAGCTATAGGACGTAGACCTGCTCGTCCCGTAGAAAAGCTTCCTTTCTCAATAACCATCCAGAGAAAAAGGAGCATCCAGGGAAAAAGAACCATCCAGGGAAAAAGTAACATCCGGGGATACAGAAGCAGAAATTCCAGGAGAAAGGTCCCAAAAGCTCTGGCTGGGAGCTCACAGCCTCTCAGCCTCACAGCATCAGAGGGAACCGCCCTGAAGTTTCTAAGAATTCTCGAAGGGAGAACAGCATTACAGATCCACAGAACTCCAGCTGAAATATCTTCAAGCCTTGGCTGGTAGGTCTACTCGATACCCAGACACATTTGGAATCAGTAGTAGGTCCCACACCGATGAGGCATAGATAGAAAGCAGCCTGGGAGAGGTTAAAAAGGGTTTTTCCTACAGAGAAAGTTTACTTCATCAAAGTCAGGTACCAGTCCATTGAGGACTAGACTAATAAAGCCCTGAAGTGTTGTTTGAACCATTGAAGATTTGTTGTTTGTTCCATTATAAAGACTTTGTTGCATTATCAAAGACTCTAAAGACCATCACTTCAGAAAAATCCCCGAGAACCTCTCTTTGAGGCACCCCTGGCTTCCCACTGGGCTTAAAGTATATGTCCTATAGAAAAGTACAGTTGTTACAGGCCCAGCGCACAACAGAACAATCACAGTGGCTCTAAAAGGTACTGTCATTAAAGTACTGCTGTTGACTGTAGCCAGAAAACATACTTTTTCTGCACCAAACAACAATATTGAAAGTGATGCTCATGAAGAAAAATGAAGAAATTATAAACTTGTATGGCCCAACCAGAAAGTACATGTATTCACATGAAAACAGTTGCACTGAAGATGAGTCAAATTAGGAAGTACATTTTACGCTAAAACTGATGTCACCACGATGAATGCAGAATTTTCAGCATTAGACTCATGATCATGGATATTCAATTCTGAATCAGGCAAGGTTTTCACTATTTTTTAAAATATGACTTGAGACTGGTGTGTGTAGGAATCTTCATCTGGACCAACCTGCACATATTTATCTCAAGTCATCTTTAGTTCAAATTTAATACCCACATGAGTCTAATGTTGGAAATTCTGAACTTACACACTCATCAATAGAAATTATGGGTATGTAGGATTATACCTGCCTGAGCTTGCAACTCAGTGATGTTGAATAAATCCACATTTCAGCTCTTCTTGGGAATTTTTTTTAAAGAAAAAGAAACAGGAACTCTGATAACTATCAGGAAAAGGAAGACAGCAGTAACTATAGATAATACACACACACACACACACATTTTACATAGTTACATACCTATTAAAAGAGAAGCTGTCAGCAGTTTAGGGTCATAGGGGCTTTTCCCTCTGCCATTTTCAAAATGTGAATCTTCCAGCTTAAAAATATTGTCCTGTTGAAAAAAGAAGGGAAAAGAAATATTTTATCAAAGCAATGATACAATGATAGTGCTATTAATGTATTGTCGAAGGCTTTCATGGCCGGAATCACTGGGTTGTTGTAGGTTTTTTCGGGCTGTATGGCCATGGTCTAGAGGCATTCTCTCCTGACGTTTCGCCTGCATCTATGGCAAGCATCCTCGGAGGTTGGCCATAGATGCAGGCGAAACGTCAGGAGAGAATGCCTCTAGACCATGGCCATACCGCCCGAAAAAACCTACAACAACCCAGTGCTATTAATGTGCACAAAATAGTGGACTGTTAATCAACCACATGCAGTTGAATATTATAGATAATTTTTATATACATATAATTTCTACTCACAGAAATCAGTCAGTAATTTTAGCAAATTTTGTTCCACTATGAGAAAGTATTTGAAAACTACATCCTTTGGGGCTGATTTACAATTCAGAATTTATTCTGTTCAAAATTTGCATATATATATATATATATATATATATATATATATATATATATATATATATTTGCGGCAAATAGCCTTTTCTTCAAAGCAAACAACATTATCTGTGTTGTGCAAAAATGCTGTTTTATACACGAAACAGCCCAAGATTCTTTTCATATTGTAAAAATATTATTTCAATCTAGATTCACCACATACATGACATATTCTTGTTCCATGAGCATGTAATTAGACCATATTCATTTTAATATAATCTATATATATAAAAATGCTCTGTGCATAATGAGTTCCTTAAAAACAAAAGAACCAATGAACGAAATCACACCAAATTTGGCAACAAAACGTCTCACAACACAAGGAGTGACCATCACTCAAAAATTATGATTTTGTCATTTGGGAGTTGTAGTTGCTGGGATTTATAGTTCACCTATAATCAAAGAGCATTCTGAACTCCATCAACGATGGAATTGAACCAAACTTGGCACACAGAACTCCCATGACCAACAGAAAACACTGGAAGGGTTTGGTGGGCATTGACCTTGAGTTTGGGAGTTGTAGTTCACCTACATCCAGAGAGCACTGTGGACTCAATAATGGATCTGGACCAAACTTGGCACAAGCACCCAATACGCCCAAATATGAACACAGATGGAGTTTGGGGAGAATAGACCTTGACATTTGGGAGTTGTAGTTACTGGGATTTATAGTTCACCTACAATCAAAGAGCCTTCCCGAACCCCACGAACGACAGAATCAGGGCAAACTTCCCACACAGAACCCCCATGACCAACAGAAAATACTTAAGGCCATCCAGTCCAACTCCCTTCATCAGAGCAAGAAAACGTAATCAAAGCCCTCCTGACAAAGAGACATCCAGCCATAGATATAGATAGATATGATTCACACACACAGAGAGAGATAGTATCATAGATTTGAAAGCAACCCCTGAAGAAGGACAATTATATGTTGCATGTTCCAGGCAAACCAGACACTCTCCACATCAACACTGACAAAGAAACAGCAAGAAATACTGTTTACCCACAAACATAAAGAAATTACATATATTAGAAACCAACACTTTCTCATTACTTTATTTTCCAGAACAAAAGACTGAGCCACAGCAACGCGTGGCAGGGGACAGCTAGTTGTTTAATAAACTTTTGCATATAAAACTCAAGACCCAGAAGAAACTGGTTAACAACAATGTGTTACTTCAAATTATTATTTTCCATGAGGTCATCCAACATCCATAGTCTCATATGCATGATTGCACTAATCTATCACAATTATTTTATAGAATTATGGGAGCTATAGCATAGCAATACACAAATGAAACAGCAAAGAGGGAATGTAGGGCGATATTCACAAAAGAGCAGTTGTTCACATTAAGAACTGTGGGAAAACATATGCATAGTGCAAGGTTAATTTGCATAGCCTGAGAGTAATGCGGGATTGTTTAGGATGACATAACATTCCAGGAATTTATGTTTTCCTTTAATTCAGTTTATCCATGTCATTAGGAGAACAGCAGGATTCACTTATTCAAATACTCCCAAAAGGTGAATTGGGTCAGAAGGAAAAGGCTTGAGATTTAGACTTGTGTCCACATTGGAATTTGAATTCAAAGAGACTTACAGAGATCTTTCAAGAAACAAAAAAAATGTGTCAAGCTTCTGAAGACAAAATCAAAATTATAAAGTTGAAGAAAAATAATAACAACCATGGATCAGATGGCACCATAAAGCTTCACAACTTTATTGTGGCTTAATTTTCTACACTTCTTGTCTAAGTTATAGTTGTGTCTGCAGGAGATCTATAGTGGAGGGAATCTCTTTTGTTTACTTGGTAGTAAGCTTCTTTCTTATTTTCATAGCACAAAAAACCACTGATTATTTTGTGATTTCTCCTGCTGACTAAACAATGAAATTGAGAAGAGATTGAACATGTGCGCCCAACACACATATGGAGTAGTAGACTAGGAAGCCATCGGAATATAACAATCTATATAAATAAAAATGTAATGTTCGTTTGTGGTATTAAAAGAACTCAAAAACCACTGGACGAACTGACACCAAATTTGGACACAAGACACCTAACAACCCAATGTACGTCCTTCACTCAAAAAAATGATTTTGTCAGTTGGGAGTTGTAGTTGCTGTGATTTATAGTTCACCTACAATCAAAGAGCATTCTGAAACCCACCAACAATGGAATTGAACCAAACTTGGCACACAGTTCTCCCATGACCAACAGAAAATACTGGAAGGGTTTGGTGGGCAGTGCCCTTTGGTTTTGGAGTTGTAGTTCACCTACATCAGAGATCACTGTGGACTCAAACAATGATGGATCTGGACCAAACTCTACACAAAGACTCAATATGCCCAAATGTGAACCCTGGTGGAGTTTGCGGAAAATAGATTCTTGACATTTGGGAGTTGTAGTTGCTGGGATTTATAGTTCACCTACAATCACAGACCATTCTGAACCCCACCAATGATAGAATTGGGCCAAACCTCCCACACAGCAACGTGTGGCAGGGGACGGCTAGTGCACAATAAGATTCCAGAACAGACAGAGGTCTTACTAGACATTGTATGCCTTTTTAAAACATCAATGGCTTGTTAGCAAAGACCAAAAAGGGGTCTATACTGAACAGGGAGAGGTACCTCTGTTCATCCACATATACTATGGGTCTGCCACTAAATTAAATCTTGTCTTTCACTTAATTAGGTTTCATTTATGGATGTAATTCCAAACTATTTTCAATAGGGGTAGGAGAGATGTTCATAAATGAGCAGAATCAAGGGGATGACTGTAGGGCAAACAAGTGGTGGTTGAAATATGCTAGTCTTCTTTCACATTGTTTTTATGTAGGAGGTAGAGGTATGCAATTTTTTTTGGGGGGGGGAAACCCATAATGTATTTGGTGCCCAGTTTTTGATTGCTCCTCCCTTCCATTTTAGTGAACTTACCAAATTTGGGAGGGGTTTCTGTTTTCATGCCAGAACTACGGCTCGGAAATTCCAACTGGTTCAACGGGTGGCGGCCAGGATGTTAACTGGCGCTCCTTACAGAGAGAGGTCAACCCTCCTGTTTAAAGAGCTCCATTGGCTGCCATTTACCTACCGAACCGAATTCAAGGTGCAGGTGCTTACCTACAAAGCCCTAAATGGTTTGGGACCTGCCTACCTGCCTGACCGCATCTCCGTTTATGAACCCATGTGCTCCCTTCGTTCATCCGGAGAGGCCCTGCTCACGATCCCACCTGCGTCGCAGGCGCGTTTGGTGGGGACGAGGGACAGGGTCTTCTCTGTGGTTGCCCCTCAACTCTGGAACACCCTCCCCAAAGACATTAGACTAGCACCCATGTTGGCAATCTTTAGGAAGAATCTGAAGACCTGGCTGTTCCAATGTGCCTTTCCGGAATAGGAAAACCTCCAGCACTATGTCCCAGAAGCACTTTATTAGAGTATAAGACTCTCTGCACATTGCACTTGCCCAGAAATCCAACATACCACCTGCCACACCCAGCACTTTTTAACTTGTACCCATCACTGGCCCAGCCCTGGTTTTTTATTGTGTAATGATGTAATGTTTTGTTATTGCTTATGTTTTTAATTTGCTTTAAATTGTATTGTTATTGTTTTGCTGTTATTGTGTTGAGGCCTTGGCCTTTGTAAGCCGCATGGAGTCCTGCGGGAGATGGTAGCGGGGTACAAATAAAGTTTAATAATAATTAATAATAATAACTCTTTGGTCCATTGCTGCCAATAGGGAAATTTTAGAGGCTCATTTTCTCCATCATTTTAGTCCTATGAAACTTGCCTCACTTATAGGCCACTTTTACATCTGCAAGCCTGCCAAGTTTCAGAACGTTTCACCGATCCACAATTTTCTTTTTTTTGGACATTTTTAAAGTTTTTACCATAACATTTATAAAAAAAACTATAGGAGGGGATTCTGGGAATTGAAACCGCAAGTGCATGCCACAAGAGGAGAGAAGAACGGAAACAGTCAGCCAGGCCTCTGATTGGTTGAGAAAGAAAGGGAGAAACATACACAGAGAAAAATCCCATTATGCTGAAGGAAGGAGGAAAAGGCTCCTTCTATGCTTGTTCTGCATAAAGTGCTGCTGGGAAAGTGAGTTCCAATTTGCCTCAAGCGGATGCAGGGGGGATGGCCTTCAGGAAGTGATGGAGGGAAGAAAGCAAAGGAGGAGCAGCAGCTTTCCTGAATTATGAGGTTCCCCTGCCCACGTCGCCAACTTCACCTCAGGTAGAATGCTGCTCAGCCCACTCGTCCCCATTAGCCAAAAAGATTTATTATTTCCAATTTATTTCCAACATTTGTACCCTGCCCTTCTCAACCTCCGAGGGGGGACTCAGAGCAGCTTATGCTGGCAACAATTCATTGCCACAACATACAAACAAAATGATCTGGCTGCTGTGAGTCCACCTAATGCTTTGGATGCCCTGCACCAGGCTGGTTTTCAAAGATTTGGCAACCAAATCCACCGAACCTCCGAATCCTGTA